CTGATATATAGGAAGCCACTCTATGAAATTGAAATACAACATAGTGGTAAGACTTGAGAAGGTACTTACTGCTGCATGTTTTAAGAAAATTATCAAATTCTGAACATTTCAAGCTCTACTGGAGATAGGGTGGATGTGCCATCCTTCATGAATCTACTTTCAACAGAAATCAAGTAAGAGGCTTAAAGTATTCACAAGGATTCCCAGTAAAATCGACCTATCCTCAAGTTGGATACTTAACGACTTCCCAATTGACTTGGAGCTTACCAAAGCTGGAAATGAAATGTTTAGCTTCAACATTGTCTTCTCTGTCGGTTCTCCCGAGGATGAAATTTTTTCGAAGGTCGTTGAAGAGCATTGCGATACTGATGATATACCATTAAGGCTTGCGCAGGCCAATCACGAGATTTCGAGGATTCGTCATTACTTCCATGAAATTGGCACCCAGTTTTGTGACATCCAAATTTCACTGGGAGAATCTATTGTCTCCACTATTTCAAATTGTGTGCATGACTACGCTCGAAATGTAAGAACAAGTAAAATCTGGCATTACATTCGTAGGTAGAGAGCAAGGAACGAAGGAAGGAGGAGATGGAAAGAGCAATTCGTAGGTTTCAAATAAAAGTGCCAATTTTACTGACAATATATTTTCAGTAATTAATTCTGATCAGGAAGTTGCCTGCTTAAATCTACGTGTTATTCCAAAATTAAATAAAGTAAGTGCCATCTGCTTTCAATTAAAATCACAATGCATTTACTTTGTCCAGTCATTGAGAGAAAGTGCAATCAAAACTGAGGATAGAATTAAAGGTGCATTCGTCTCAAGTATGGAGGAAGTAGTATTTAAGCTTCATCATCAACGAATTGGCACATTCAGGCACCTTTGTGAGAGCAAGAGGACTTTGTTGGATTTTATGAAGCGAGGGAGTTCAGGACAAGAAATAATTGATTCCTTTAAAGAGGTTTCTTCAGTTGCGTTAGTGAGATGTGAATTTTAGGAATTTAACAAGTGGCCATTTGAGCTGCTGCAGGACGAAGAGACGAAAGCAATTCGGCATTTGTGGTTGCACGGTGTTAAGAGTCAACTTTGTCATTTGAATGCAGAGAGGAAGAAGGAGATTGCGCATCGGCTTATGGAGTTGATTGATAAAAATGAATGACGTTTAAATGAACGAGCCATTTTGATTAATCATCTGTGTTTGATGCTGCAAGCTGAGTTGACTAACTGGCAGAAGAGGGTTCAATTGATTGACCAATTATTTGGAACTATGGAAAATCAGTACAATAACTCATCAGTCGAAAACCCTTGCAATAGTGACAATATCTACCAATTACCACTCTGTAAGGTTAGCTAACCGATTTAAATATTAATGGGTCGAGTTAATTTATCCACAATTTGTGACCAATGTCACCCTTGATTAGAGCTAAGTTAAGCCTTTTATTTTCCCTCATGATAATAATTGTGTTAACAAGTAACATATTAGGAGTTGCGGCAGTCTTTTCTTGGTATGTTTAATGAGAAAGAGCAAATTGAAAGCAAAGTATATTTTACCAATGTGGCAGAAGTTCTCCTTGATCACAGGCAGTCACTGAACAATTCTTATTTTCCCTCCTTCTCAAACGATTTATGAACGATGTGTTATGATTAGCCACCCAGTTTAAACATTCTGGAGCAAGCACCTGAAGAGCCTGACAAGACAAAGTCAAAACGTAAGCCAAGGTCAAGAATGCCTCCAACCAAAAGCAGCCATGTGCCAGATGTTTGCAATTCACCGAAAGGATCATCACCGAAGTTGGTATTCGTGACAACTGAAGGGTTGTCTTCACATGAACTATTGAAATTAATGGGTAACCAATTCACCTCCTTACTTTATCTCAGTCATTTCTATGTCATTGGTATTCATTTGTGAATATGCTAGGTGTGGAGTCACATTTATGTGATTTGAAGAAGTCAAGACCTGTGCCAGAGAGGAGAACATTGGCAAGACATCCTGAAGGAGCGAAACGAAAGACGATCCC